GCGTGCGCACGGAAACTCTTTTAATAAATTCGGACCGAGTGAACCGAAGTAAAAACAGAAAAGCAAAGTACAGGGCAACAAAAAAAAAAAAAAAATAAAATAAAATAAAATAAATCCCTTTCCCGCCGCTGCCACCACGGTCTCCCCGCTGGTCTGATGCTTTATGTATACATTATATGTACACGCGCACACACGCGTTTATGTATATACAGGAAAAGACTAAGTGTGCCGTATATATATAGTGGAAACTCATAAATACGTCTGGAACAGAGTTAGTTCGTGTGCGAGGTGGGATGGGGAACCGTGGTGCGGTAAAAGTTAGTCTGCCGTAACGGAAAATGTTTCCGGCGCAGAGTCCTGCTGCCCTGCAGTCGTCCCGCGGCGTGCGCGCAACCCAGCCCTTCCCGGGCCCACTCTCTCGGCGTAGCGTAACCCACGCCGCTCGCGAATACGGATAAAGAAGAACAATGCTGCGGCTCCGGCGGCGATCGGTAAAATACGATTGAGAACGTAATTTTTGGTAACGCGATTGAGAACGCTCGAGTTTTTTTTTCCAACGTTGCCAAATGTAATCGATCGATAATATGAGTACAATAATCTGTTGATATTTATCGAACTTTAATAGGATTAGCTGGATGTTAATAGTAATTTAGATACCAGATATGAGAGAATGACGGTTAAGCTTTGCAGTCGTCGCACAAATTATACGTCAATATAATATACTACATAGCATATTTATTAAAATGGAAAGAACGAAATTAAAATTCTAAAAAGCGAACAAGGTGACGACCTAATATTATTAGAAAGTAATAAATTTTATAAATTCTTCATATTTTACAATTTTTATATATACATTATACATTATACACACACACATATATATATATGTATGTATGTATAATATATTAGATGTTTTTAATAAGTTCTACATATTTCTAATTTTTTATTCATATTATATACTACATATTATTAGGCACTTATTTGTACCCGATTATAATTATTAATTCATGACTTTTTTCAAGAATATTTATTGTATGTATACTGAGTTTTTCAGAAGCCAAATAAATGATATGGTATACTATGTAACGTTGCACATAATTTCGTTCTCAACCGTATCGTTTTTTGGGTTTTTTTTTGAGTCAGTGGTAAGTTCTTAGTTAATTTTAAGTGTTCTCAATCGTTCGGCTTAAAAGGTATAACGTTCTCAATCGTTCGACAGTCGTGGCGATAAAACCGAAAATCCGAATTTCGGCTCAACCCCCGCCACTTGCGCCCTCGTACGACCGCAACCACCGGAGGTGTTCGATGCGACTCCGCCGTTAGCGCAAATGTTGAGGCGAGTGGATATTTTTTTTTCCATCTCTCATATTTTATTTCGCAATCCGCGATGGCGGTACATAGGTACGCGATCTGCGGTAAAGTTTCGATCCATTCGTCGTCCACTTGCATATCGTGTACAATAATACTTCGGTTGCAAACACACGGTCACACACGCACGCGCACTCACGCGATCGCGCGAACCCAAACCGTATAAATATATTGCATGTGCAATGCACTCGCACACCAAGGGTAATAAGGGTGGCGGTTAGGGTAGCGTGAGGGACATCCGAAGATCCTGACGGCCCGTTTCCCAAACGATACGTGACGCGCCGCCGCCACCGTATGTGGGCTGGCTTTCTAAATGATCCAGGAATTGAATTTCGGACGAATTATAGCAACGCGTGTATCGGCGGCCATTTCACTTCGTTCGCAAAATCATTCCATAGTTTTGCAAAGAGTACACACGCTGTGCGCGCGCACACTATTTTTCACTTTCTTTTAGACGTAGATCATTATTAATATTCAGTGGGCATTTTAATATACTGATAAACATTTGATACGTAATATATAATTTTTAAAAAATAGACGAAACGTCGTGTTTGCCATGTAAAAATAAATAATCGGTAGCATTTATAAACGTATCGTTATTTCATGCATTTCTGTTTTCAATCGTGTTTTTTTCATTTTACAATAAGCACGACATATTTTATCTGTACTGAAAAATATGTCCATAAAATAATGAAAACTGTAATAATGAAAATTATATCATAATTATAATAATAATAAAAATAATAAGAATACATACCTATGATACGTTATAAATGTAGGTCGTTGCATATTTAATTATAAAATAGTATCCAATATACTCCTAATTGTCGATTTAGATGGAAAAGAAGTGAACAGTCGAAAAGAATAAACTTTACTCGTTAACGAGAGTCATAGAACAATTCGCTTATACGTCTCTCACGAACCGCTTGTAAAACGCTTATAAAATTAGCATTATACTCTGTCATCGGTCCAGAAAAAAAAAAAAAACAATACAAACAACAAGACAATATTGTCTTTATTGGTTTGTCCGTCAAACTGATGTGTTATTTCAAACGAAAATTGGTTGTATTTGTTGTCAGGTGGTCAACACGTATGCTAGGCTTATTTGCAGCAGACTAACAGAAGCAAACTATGCACTTAACCGCAGCAGGTTATCTGTACACACGATTCTGACGCTATAAAAGCTTATTTTACCAAACTAATAAACCGGAAAAAAAAAATGTAACAAAATACTGTATACATACGCCTCCACCCCTCCAGCCGTTATGAACCCGTTCGTATGCAAATTTGTTCACATTATTGTTTCTTTTTTTCTCTTTTGTGTATCCCACCGTATATATACATAATGTACCAGGTGAATCAATGTGGCGACGGTGGTGTATATATATGTGCGTATAGGCACACACACGCGGTTTTACGTTGACAAAACGTAATAATATAAACACACGCGTCCGCGTGCGAGCCGTGAACGCGGAACGATATCGATCTGACATTACGTTTAATACGCCTGTTGTTGTTTTATCAGATGACGGTAATTAAACATGGAATAGAACAAAAAAAAAAGCCGTCGCCCCGTGAACACAAAAAATTAATACGGCTTGTGTGATGCGTGTGTTAAACGCGAAAAAAAAACCGTATTCTGCTTGTTTGCCGTACGCTTGGGTATGCATGTGTACGTGCCTACGTGTGTATGTGTGATAACGTGCACGACTGAGCCGATGACAAAAAAAAAGTTAATAATAAAGAGCCTAATTTTTTCATTTTATGCTCTTTCTCGCTCTCGCTCACGCTCACAAATCAATTGATAAACGAATGCGGTGAGTTGGGATTAAGTACCTACCTATGAATTATCTTATGCTTTTAGAATTTTCTTTTTAATATTTTCTCGTTTCTCTCGGATTATTTTCGATCAGTATCAATTAAAGATCATGTCTAGCAAAAAAGGATATATTTACAGTGGTGTGTATATTATGAATTAGTAAATACGTCTTATATACATTTAGCAGAATTATTTTAATTCATTTTCCAACTAATCGCATTGCACTACGAACTCAAATAATAATTTATATTAAAACGAAAAAATACAGATGGACTAATGTGTAAATAATAATATTATTTATTTAATAAGTTGTTAACCACATGTATTTAATTATTTTTTCAATCGATTTGTAGGTTTTATAAATTTAATACTTTAAAAAAATGTTTAGTAGAATCTATCAATCGGTATGATAAATATCTTAAAAGTTTAATTTCATTAATTTATAATTAGTATCATCTTGTAGCATACATTAGGAAATGCAGTGCTAAGAGTTTGATATAATATACATATTGTCTAATCATTTTACCATGTAGGATTATACATTTTCATCGCTTCTGGAATTTTATTTCAAGTGTTATATACAACCACAATCAAAATCTATTCAGAAGGTTGACGATGAATTTTCTTTTAAAATCGCATAACATTCCGAAAGTGAAAAAACTCGGTTTATTACGTTGTTTAAAACTTTGAAAAACTTGTTTTCCCTTTCGTTGCAACTTTAACGAACAATAAAAAAAAAAAACTTGTGTTTTTAATTATTTATTTATTTTTTCGGTGAATCTCGGAATCCAGTTTTCACCCAAACCGATTGTTAATCTTTCGCCAGTGCGATTCGAAACGGTTCGCGTAAACGTGTGCCGTCGTAAGTAAATACGCCGATTATCTCATCGCCGCGGAATCGGCGTGATAACAGGCAATGCGGACGCTTCGGCGAAAAGCAACCGCTCGCGGTTGTCACGGAGGAAAGACGTGTCTCTCGCGAGCCGTGCGAACGGACGCGATAACAACGCGCGCGGTGAAACGGAACCAAAGAAAAGCGCTCGCTCTCCGAGCCGGGTCGCACTGGCCGGCGCTGCGCGTACGGCACGAACGTACGTCGTGTGCGTGCACTGCCGTATCGAGGCCGGCCACGTACGCCACGTACGTTGCTAACGGTCGGTCGATTTCTCACGCGTCTCCGGCGGTACGCGTTATATATTTCATCCGCGGCGGTTTCTGACGTTGACAAAGCTGAAACGACGCGCGCGTTCTCGGCGTCTCCCCGCGGGGCGCTGCGAGCCCTAAAAGCATTTAGACGTTACCGCGCGTCGTCGACGTACGGGTGGAACGGATACCTGCACGGTGCACCGCCAACGGGACGGGCGCGCGCATAACGCAGCGCGTGCGCGCGCGTGCAGGTCGAACGTGGCGCGGGACCGCGATCCGTTGGCGATGAATGAGTACACACCTCGCGCGTCGCCTCCAACAACAACAATACGTTTTGGTGCGCAGTCTTGTATTATGTTCGTATAACCGGTAACCGGCGTGGTGTGTTGGACGCACGTGAACGTGAGCGCTCGCGTCTCGTTCATTGTGCGTCGGAGTCGCCGTCCGTCGCGGTCGCGAGGCCGTCAATGCCCGACCCCCCGAGTGTGGGTGGACGCGACACCTGGCAGACGGGGACCCGAGACGGTCTCTCGTCGTCGTCGTCCTCCTCCTCCTCTTCTTCTTATTCTTCTTCTTCTTCTTCTTCTTCTTCTTCTTCTCCGTCTATTAATTTTTCTACTCCGCGGTCCGTCGTCGTCGTCATCCGTTCCGTCGTCGTCGTTCGCGCGTTCGGTCGCGTCTCGCTCTTGTTTGTCGTTCCATTCTCGGGACGACCGCGCGCGTTCAATAGCCACGAAAATGAACATTGATTGGCAGGTCGGGCGCGGGGGCGCGGTGTTGCGACACCTCCGCCGTCGTCGCACGTCGTCGTCGTCGTCACAACACCGGTGACCGTCGCTCGCCGTACGTGCGCTAGTATGTGTTCGCGGTATACTGGCCGTCGTCGTCGCCGTCCGCCGCCACCGCCTCGACCGCCCTCGAACGTCTACGCCGCGGGGTAAGTCCACGTATTATGTGCTCGCTAACGTAACGCGTTCAGGTGACGCAACAATCGCGCAACGTTTCGCCAACGAAATCGCGCGCGCCTGTACGACTGGTTTCCAAATGTTGTCGTAAGAATCGAATGCGATCGCCACTGAGATTCTAATTGTACGTCAAACCGTGGGCAGATTATTATGAAAACGTCATGCGTTACATACGCGCCTGTACACCGATCACGAGAGACATCGTGTTCCGTTGAGTAAAAAAGTTAGTGTTTATAGTTTTTTTTTTTTTTTTTTTTTTTTTTTTTTAATTTCTACAACTCTAGAAGTATCACTGCTTACGACTGTTTAAAAAAAAAAAAAAATTAGATTATTAGAAAGCTAATAGACATTTGAGAACTACTTTTGACACCCCCTCCCCATAACACAGAAACTTGAAAAACTATTCGATGTTGGTCTCCGGGTACAACACTCACGTTCGGTTTATCTTTTCGCGGTATGTATACTACGTATACTAATATTTGTGTGCGTTGCGTACGCGGGAGTGTGTTAAATGCGCCCTGTTTAACGAGTCGTATAAATGTGCGTCCGGTCCGAACGCGTACAACTACTGAGGCAGTTTGTGTGTTTAACGTTCACAGCGATTCGAATAAGGAAGTGTCCTGTTCATAAATAATTAATCGAATTAACGCGCTTTACGAACGTATTGTATATTTATAAATACGTATACTAGGTGTATACGCGCTACTACGAGGAGTCAGAATGGATATGTTTAATTACGGTGAGTTCTCGGCGTTCAACAGAGAGTAAAATCTTTTCGATACGTATAAGTTTCTTTTTCGGTAATATTTTTTTTTCTACTGTATTCGATAAAAATTATTTAGCTATTGAAAAAGCGTGTAAAATCATGTCGCGCCTACCTACCCCAATACAAAATCAAAAGGTATTTGTCGAGTAGAATAAAATATATCAGTATATTGTGTGTACAGTGTACAGGGGTCCTCCTCATTAAAGGGCTGCTTGAGAACCCTTCGTTTAAGAATGACACCGTGTCTCCCCTTCGGTTATAGGTGGAACGGAAAACATAGTATACATTTATTGCTGTACAAATGCGTCGACGACCTTTCATACACAAAAACACGGGTTGTTTGGCAGAGGGATAATATTTTCCGAAAAAACTGTGATCAAATTCAAAAATCTAAGTTGGTTTTTTTTTTTTAAAGGTTTTAAAACTTAATGACACTTTGCCCTTGTAGTATAAAATTATATATATATATATATATATATATATATATATATATATATACGTTAACAACGAGAATAAAAAATTAAAAATTACATGTGGAATCTTAAAAGTTCTGCATTCAGATAGAAAAAAATATAATTTATACATAACAAAACAATAACTTTATAAATTTGTTTGTAAATGATAAAGTTATTTATTTGAAAGTTTTGGCTCAGGAGTCACCGACTGAATCACAAATCCATTATATTCCCCTATCAAAAAATGTATAACCTGATGGTAAAGTTTCTTCTTCGGATTTTTTTTCTGTTCAAAAACTTTTAAAACTAAACCAAACTTCGGAGAAAAATGTTCACCTTTAATTCCTGCATTGGCTATTTTTCATTTTACTTATATTCCCGTCAACGATCACCCTATTAAACTGTATATAGCTATTAAAACCATGCAAGTCGAATACTCTCCAACGTATACATCGATGTTTTCACATTTTTAATTTTTCTGATTTTGGCTTACTGTCAAAAGCATACGATATAATTTTAAATCGTTAAATCAATATTGCGTTGTTGGAATTTTTCTTAATAACGTTGAGTATAAAAAAAAAAAAAAAAAAAATAATAATAATAATTAAACCATGAAATATGTTACTCGCTTATCGACTACGTGTATCGTGTAACCGGCAGGGCGAATGCTTCAGTGTATACACACGTTTATAATTACCCGTGTACATAATGTATAGCCACATGCCACGAGTCTCGATGTCACGGAATTATAAACCAAGTTTTTCCGTGCCTACATTTCGCAGTGAAAATACGATAACGCAATATATTATACATGTTATATTATTTTGAGATCGATTTCACAAAATATTTGACCGAGTTGACGGTTTTCGTAATTGGTGGACCAATACCAAATCATAAAATTAAAACTCTTCGGCCCTAATGTGAAGTATAAGCATTGATTAAATATATTTTATATATTTTAATCAATGGTATAAGTACACACACTCGTCCGTATCTATAATCTGTAATCGTTTCGGAATCGTCATTTTGCCCGATTACTTATTACCGAAATATTTTGTAACACTCACGTAAACGGGAACAAATACTTTTCGGCGCATTGGGTGTGGACGGGAGGCCGCCCGAGCGTGTGCGTCGTGTACAGCGTAGCGTGCTCGTATATTCAGTGCCAAGTATGTTTGGCGGCAAAATATAGAAATAAAACCAGACTTGACAATTTGGCCAAGAGAAACGCGAAACAAAAAAAAAAAAACCCGTGATACAATCTACGGCAAACGAGAAAAATGATTTAATTTCTCGTGTTCATTCGCTCTTATAGGCCGACACGTCTCGCTGGAGAGGTGCATTTATTATATTTGAGAGTAAACGAGAAACGTTATAAAGTTGTAACACCTATAGATTAAATGCGTGGTAAAAATATAAAACGTTTTTAATTCTTAATTGGATTTTTTTATTTTATTTTTTTCTAAAACCATTATGCGCGAGTTGATTACCTCTACCGGTGATAATATTGCCAAATCTTTATTTTTATAAACTTATTTATACGCTTTCGGTATGCCTACACCTCTCCGTGAACGCGTTGAACGGACGACGGTAGCGCGCATGTACCGGCGTATTCCTTACGCGTTGATGCGGTTACTTCCTGGCCGCTACTCCTCGGGTACGGTTATTACATCCGTTGAAGAATACGAATCAGCAATTTTTAAAGCGTGTTACGATCGCCGCAGAGGTAAGGCCGTGCTCACCGTCAGTCCTCCGCGCGTAAACGTAACGTCGTTATTGTTCAACGCACCTCGGATCGTTTTTTGTTTTCCCCGTATGCGTACGTGCGCGCGCGACGATCCGAACATGCCGCGGGGCCACGATCCGGCGACATTTCTCAAAACTAAATGAGGGACGGTGAAATCCGACGTGTCCCCGGTGTGAGGGGGAGGGGGGTAGAAACGCGTATTTATAGCGAGGAACATGTGCGTGCGCGCGCGTCCGGTAGCGGAACCCACTTCGTGAATGGCGTACGGGGCGTCGCGGCGGTGGTGAGCAAACAAGGGAGCGACGCGTGTGCATGCGCGCGTTCGCGTATACGATTCGTGTTACGTTCCACGGACGAACCGCGCGCGCGAGCGAGCGAGTACGGGAAAAAAAAAAAAATAAATAAATAAATAAATAGCGACGGGCGCGAAACGGTAGCGGCGCGATCGGTGGTGACGATGTCGTCGGCGGTGGTACCGCTCGCGCGCGGGGGG